GGCCACTTTGTCGGTGTCAAATACACGTGCATCAACGTGAGTTTCATAAATAGCTCCTATGCAGTCTTAAATTTAATAATGTTTAATCTATTAATGATTGAGAGGTAAATAATTTTAATATAGTAATGACATGTTTGAGATATATCTTGAAGAATGACATCTAGCGAGAGTCATTCGCAATTTGTGTTTGGATGGACTGGAATGTGAAATCCTCGGGCTTAATTATCTTAGAGGCTAAACTTACTAGAGCATTCAGACCAATGGAAAAATACTTGCTGATAGTTTCTGATGAATGTTGAAATCGTTGCATGGCTCCTCTAATGGACTCATTCTGAGATAATATAGTGTTATTGCTAGCACCTCTCTTGATGTCATTCTGGTCGAGCCATTCAAACCATGTTTTTTAGTTCGTAGGCAGATCGATGAAAATTTCTTTTGTCATACGGAATATGTTTGCGAAGCGTGTCGGATGGTATTGTAGTAACTCGCCGACTCATTCATCACCAACATATCTCGGCGTCTTACATGAGGTTCGATTGATGTATGTGAGGTAGTAGTCATATAACAAAGTAAAAATAAGAACATCTTTTTAACGTAGTTCAATTGTTCTGGATTCATCCTACGAAAATTAGTTGAAAAAGAATAGTTAAAACCTTCATCCATTTAAAAACATCCATACAACGTATAACCACATAAGATATGAGAACTACAATGTTAACTATAAGGAGTGCAGCTAAAAACAAGTGCTAGAAAGAAACCCTTTACAACACTACAAACAGTTCTGAGAAAACAAAATGACAAGCTTTCAAAACATTCTATTTTCTAAGAAGGAACGTAAGAAATCAATTTGATATTCTGCATCTAACTTCACAAAAAATTCTCTACGGAATGGATCTTGTAGTAGTTTAACACAATTGAGATAGAGTTTCCTCTCCGCCTTAACCTCAACATGTGTATTTAGGATTCGAAGGCACCCCTCAACGGATATATCCTGTGATGCAGTAAGCTTAACAGTGCAAGATTTAGCAAGCTTTTCAGTTGTGCTTCTGACGAATGCGACTTCTTTCTTCCTTTTCTCCACCCTGGGTCTTTTTGGAACGGATGAGGATTCCAACCCATGGATTTCGCAGGGCTCTTCTCCTGAGCCACTTACATTATCAGTTCCAAGAACATCAGTTGTGCAAATGAAGTCAGATTCAGATGGGGTAAAAGCATGTGCTCCCGTTGCAGCAACCCCACTGAACATGTCATTCAGCTTTTTTTCAATGGATCATTGTCATTCAATTTGAATTTCTTAGTTACTGACACGACCTGCACAACATAGAAAACTGAATTAGTTAAATCAGTTCAATATAACTAAAATGAAATAAGGAAATGGTATAAGGTAAGTCATTACCTCTACTTTTTAAGCCCACCAATCCTCAGGAGCATCTTTTGTTCGCTTCACTGGATCCCAACCCAAACCTGTCATCCCCCTCTTAAGTTATTTTCAAATTTTCCAATCATTCTTTAATTGATTCCACTTGTCCTTAAATTTCATCATCTCATAGTCTCTTTTTGTCAGTTCCTTGAATTTGACAATAAGATTCTGCAAATTTTTTTTATTAAAATATATCGTAGGTCTATTTCCTAGATCCACTTCCTTAAGACAAATATCATAAAAAATATTTGTTGCTTCTCTGCCCCGCATGACAGATGATCCAACTTCTTTGCTCTTATTCATTGCAGTATTTACTAGTGAAATGTTAAATAAGAAAAAAAAATGCATTTAATAATATGAGCATCAAAAATCCAATAATGCTGCAGCATTTTTACGTAAAAAATCCAATACCATGAGCATCAAAAATCCAAAAATCCAATAAAACTTTAAACATTGAAGAAGACCTTAATATTAGAACAATATTTGAGAAGACCTTAATATTAATGTCAAGCTGGTTAAATTTAAAATGATTCAATTTTGAACCAGCAATAAAACATTTAGGCTAGCTTGAAAATAATTTTTATAAAATTTTTTCATATACACTCAAAAACTAATCAACATAAAAAATAGTTAGCCAATTTTAAAAAAAAATATCAATACATCAAAGAAGAAAATATTTACACATTACTTTTTATGAATCTACAGACATAAATAAATGAATATGCTTATATGCCTAACATTAATATCAATATTACTAATTTGGGAGTGCTCGAATCACAGTGCAAGAGAACCACACAAGGCCCAAAAGAAGAAATGGCTTGCTGTATATCATCAACTTTGAACATTTTTCAATAAAGGAATAAACGAATTATTGTATATCAATAAATGAATTATTGTATATCATCAGCTTTGAACATTTTTCAAGCTAATAATGCAAAAGAAGAAGAGGACAAATTGCTGTAGAAATGTCTGTCGAGATGAGAAGTAAAGGAAAAAATGATTGTGGACAGTGAGTTGCAAAGAAGAGGGCTCGGGAGATTATACCTGCCAAAGATGAGCGTGAGACCGAACGGAAGCAGGGAGCGGCAACGGGAAGTCGCGATCTAGCGAGATGCTGAACGGAAGCAAGGAGTGGCAACGGGGAGTCGTGGGATGTCGAACAGAAGCAGAGAGTCGCGATCTAGGGTTGACCTAGAAGATCGAGAGAGGAGAATCTCAGAAAAAGGATTGAAGAGAAGAGAAGAGGATGGGGATTTCTTACCAGACTCTCGGGCGATTGGGGAGTGTGGGAGGAGCGACTTCCTTTTCTTTCGGCGGAGGAAATAGGGCACGAATGCTTCGCGCGAGGGCAAGTGGGTAAAAAGGATTGCGGGGGGCGTTCGGAACGCTGATCGCGGGGTTATACCCGCGATCGTGTTTTCATTAAAATAAAAAAACGATGTTTTCCTATAAGCGGCTAAAACGTGCAAAACAAACGGTGCGGCGGCGTTTTCAAAAACGCCGCCGCACTTATAAGCTGCCCCAAACGCTGAGCACTTAGTTTTTTTGGTTTTAGATGAGGGTGTAGGTGGTGACCTTGAGAACTGGAGTGACCGAACATACGATAGTTAGAGCAATACAT